GGAAAGAGAACAGTAGAAGCTAAAGTGAGATGTGGCTTCCAGGGAGGGGTTTTTGTTAGGTACTCTAGGGATAAGAGTTTTAAAGTTGATGGCTGGGGTGACAGAGAGATTAAATAAAACACTGAGATCAAGAGGAGGAGAGTGTAGTGGAGGGAAAGTAGGGAGTGAAGATGAGACAAGTGGGCATAATGTATCAGTAACTGTTGAACCTGGGTATGGGCGTATTTTGGATTCATTATACTGTGATTTCTATTTTTTATAATCTGTTTGAAAATTTTTATAATGTAGACATGTTTTCAAAAGGAAAGCTTTGAACCAGGTGCCTCCATGTATGAGGAAGAGTCACTTTAAAGTTAGTAGATGATAACCGATGGGTATGTGTGCCAGCTGGCACGTGCCACAAAGGAGCAAGGTTTTTACACACAGAGAAATGTGAAGCTGCTCAAAGTGTTGGGGAGAGAGGAGACCAGCCCTTTCCTGCCGACCCTGAGTTTTTGAGGTCTGGGAGAATTAGCACCTTAACTGGAGAAGGCTATAATTATAATAGTAGTGGTGCCTTCAGGAGTATAGACTGGTTTCAATTAAGGCAAATAAGGGAGGGAGTTAGTGAAGAGATTGAGGATTTAGCAGAATTTCTATACAATGAGTGGTCCTAAAATAGCAAAAGAATTGGATCTATTTTCATCATAAGATTACTGAAGGTTTTAGGATCCCATCTTTTAGGAATGGTTCTAATTTTTACCATGACCTTTTTGTGTGAATTCATATTATTTTATTCACTTATACAAATTTTCAATGGAAATACTTGGAAGGGGAAAACATTTTAGGTTATTATTCACATGCATTCAGTGTTTGAATCTAAGGACAATCAATTAATGAGTGGGAATTGGGGGATGAATATGATCACACAACATTTCAAAGGAAGAAATGACAGGATTTGGTAATATTTTTTAAAAGGGTATACTCTAATAAATATGAATGGCTAGTCATTCTTTGCTGTTGGTTAAGAATAGGAAACCATAAAAGTAGTCAATACTGTCATTTACTTTTAAGAATGAACAAATAGATTAAATGCGACAAGTATAATATATTATCTAGTCGATTGATGGAGCAAGAAATGTGTTATATCAACCAGTTACTTAGTGATACTTAGTAAAAGAAAATAGTAATAACCTTTATTGTTTGTATAACTTAAAGTGGTGTTTAAAGGAGCTTTAAAGCAAGAATGAATTATTATTTATGATCAAAACCTGTTTTTAAATTTAAGAATCATCAGTGGGAAGCAGTCACTGTGCCTGAGGAAGAAGTACAAATATACAGCATTGAAGGTATTAAACTTGTTTTTGATATAACTATCTTCTTGATTCTGCTCGAGTAGAAGTTGCACACTCTATGGAAAAACACAATAGACTGATGAAAGCAGATCAACATTTCCATATGTCCACATTCATACATTTGATAGTTCAATATCATCAAATTCCTGGCCCCACATTTCCCCCAATATCTTGTATTTATTTCCTTCCCTATCTAGTCTAAAACCCATGATCAGTCACTTTCTTGTCAATACGTGCTGGACAAAAATCATATACCTTGGCAGACTGGCACCACTCCAAATTCAGATATCAAGACATATTTTAGTTATCTCAGTGGGCATGTAGTGGTATCTCATGATAGCTTTTATTTGTGTTTTCCTAATAACCAGTGATGTTGAGCACTTTTTCATGTGCTTAATGGCTACTCATATATCTTCTTTGTGAAGTATCTGTTTAAATATTTTGTCCTTTTTTTTTTTCTTACTGGACTTTTTTATTTTTAAGTTTTTGAGTTCTTACATATCCTGGATACAAATCCTTCGACAAATATATGTTCTGTGAGTATTTTCTCCCTATCTGTATCTTGCTTATTCATTTTCTCATTGGTGTCTTTAATGAGCAGAAGTTTTTAAATTTGAAGTCCACATGATCATTTTTTTTTTTTTCATGGTTATTGCTTTGTGTGATCTAAGAAATTTTGCCTACTGCCAAGTCACAAAGATGTTCTCCTGTTTTTTGGTAAAAACTTTATGGTTTTAGCTTTTATGTTGAGGATTATGATCCATCTCAAATTAATATTTGATTATGGTGTAATATAGGAGTTAGGTTCATTTTTACATATGGGTATACAGTTATTTCAGGACTGTTTGATGAAAAGGTTTCCCTTTCCCCACTGGACTTCATTGGTTCCCTTGTTGAAAATCAAATGACGGGTAGAAGTGCAGGTCTTGATGCTGTAGTCCATTCCATTGATCTGTTCCCTATGCCAGTACCACATTGTTTTAATTACTGTAGATTTATAATGAGTCTTAAAGTGAGATAGTGTAAGTCTTCTAACACTGTGGGTTTGTTTTTTTTTTTTCAAGACTGTTTTGGAAATTCTAGACCTTTTGAATTTCCATGTAAATTTTAAAAGTGGCTTATCAGTTGCTACAAAAATCCTGCTAGAATTACAACTGGGATTGTAGTTTGATATCTGGAGAAATAACATTGTAACAATAGTTACACTTCATTGTGACGTATTATTCTTTTATATATTATTGGAATTGATTTGCAAAATTTAGTTAGGAATTTGGTATTTCATGTTCTAGAAGGTCTGTAGTTTTCTTTTCCTGTAATGTCTGTTTTTTTTTTTTTTTTTTTTAGTTTCAGAATCAGGGCGTTGTTAGCTTCATAGGCTGAATTGGCAAGTATTCTATAATTTTCCGTTTTCTCTTAGAGTGTGTGTGGAATGGGTATTGTTTCTTCTTTAAGTACTTGGTAGTATTTACCAGTGAAGCAATCTGGGCTTGCACTTTTACTTTTCTTTGCTGAAGGCTCTTAACTACAAATTCAATTAATTTAATAGATAAAGGGTTTTTCAGGTTATCTTTTTTTTCCTTGAGTAAACTTTGGTAATTTGTGTCTTTCAAGTAATCGTGTTGTCAAATTTATTGGCATAAAGTGGTTTATAATGGTCCCATTTTATCTTTTTACTGTCTGTAGATTCTGTAGTGATGGTCCCCCTGTTGCTGCTGATACTGCTAAGTTGTATCTTTTTTTCCTAATCAGTCTGATGAGAGTTATATCAATTTTATTGATATTCTCTAAGAACCAGCCTTTAGTTTCATCGATTTTTCTCATTTTTGTGTTTTGATTTTCAGTTTAATTGATCTGTGCTCTTATATCTGTTCTTCTGATTACTTTAGGTGTAATTTGCTTTCCTGTTTCTAGCGTCTCAGGGTGAAGCTGAAGTCATTGACCTGAGACCATTTTTTCTCTTCTAATATAGCCATTTGGTGCTTTAAATTCTCCCCCTAAGTACTTCCTTAGCAACATCCTACAAATTGCCATGTGCTGTGTTTCCATTTTCATTAATTTATTCTTTTTAAATTTCTCTTTTGGTTTCTTCCTTGAGCCATAGGTTTATTTAAAAGTGTTTTATTTAGTTTCTATATACTTGAGATTTCAGGGATATTTTCCTGCCACTGATTTCTAAATTAATTTCATTGTTATGAGAGAGTATACTTTTTATGATCTTTGAGAATCCTTTTCAGTATATTGACACTTATTTTATGACCCAGAATATGGTCTGTCTTGGTGAATGGTGTGAGTGCGCTTGAAGGAATGTGTATTCTGCTGTTGTTGGGTGGAGGCTTGGGTTGATAGTGTTGTCATATATCCTTCCTCATTGTCTACCTCCTGTTCTATCACTTATTGAGGGAGGGGTATTGAAGTCACCACTAGAGCTGTGGGGTTTTTTTAATTCAGTTCTGTTATTTTTTTTGCTTCAGATATTTTGAATTTCTGTTATTAGTTTTATAAACATTTAGTGGTATTATCTTTTCTTCATAAATTTATCGTTATGAAATGACTCTTTTTCCTGTGGTAATATTCTTTGCTCTGCAGTCTACTTTATATAATATTAGTATACTCTCTCCAAGTTTCTGTTGGTTAATTATAGCATGGCATAGCTTTTCTTTATTTTTAAGTCCTTTGTGTCTGTGTATTTAAAGTGGGTTTCTTATAGGCATCATATACTGATACTGGGCATCATATCAGAGACTGTCAGTGTAATTTGACAGTCTGCCTTTTGTGGTTTTTAATGTGACTATTGATTTGCTTTAAATTCATCATCTAGCTTTTGTTTTTTCTATGTGCCATCCCATCTGCCATGTTTCTTTTCTTTTTCTCTTTTTCTTCTTTGGTGTTAATTCATTTTCAGTGGTTTAATTGTATTTGTTTTGTTGGCTTTATATCTACCTTTTTAGTGGCTGATTTATGGTTTATTTTATACATATTTAACTTAATAGTGTGTATGTTCAAGTAATATTATACCCTTTTATGAATAGTATAAGAACGTTGTAGTAGTAAAGTTCCATTTTTGCTTTCCTGGCCTTTGTGCCATTGCTGCCAATAATGGTAAAAATTTTTTTGCTTCTGAATGTGTCAAAGACCTCATATTATGTGTAATGATATTTTTCTTTATGCAGCCAATTAGTTTTTAAAGAGATTTAAAAAGTGGATTAAAAAGTACTTTATATTTACCCACATATTTACAATTTCCAGTGTTCAGCTTTCATTTGTATAGACCCAGATTTCCATCTGGTATTATTTTCCTTCTGCCTAGGTGACTTCTCTAATATTTCTTGTCCTGCAGATATGCTGGTGATGATGCATTCTTTCAGCTTTTTTATGTCAAAGTCCTTATTTTGTTTTTATTTTGCAAAGTATTTTTGATACATATAGAATTCTAGATTGCCTGTTGTCTTCCTTTCAGTGTACTTGAAAGAGGTTACTCTACTCTCTCTTGGCTTGCATTGTTTCTGATGAGAAGTCTGTCACTCTCATGTTTGCTCCTTTCTGTTTAGTCTTTTTTTCCCCTGGCTGATTTTCAGATTTTCTCTTTATTAGTAGTTTTAAACATTTGATTATAATGCTTTAGTGTAATTTTCTTCATATTGTTCATTCTTGAGGTTCATTGAGCTTCCTTGCTTCTAAACTTTTTATCCATTGTTCTTCAAATATTTTTTTCTGCTCCTTTTTTCTCCTCCTCTCTGGAGGCTCTGATTACATATATACTCAGCTATATGAAGTTCTTCCATAGCTCACTGATTCTCTGGGTTCTCCACCCAAACTCCAGGCTTTTATTTCCACTCTCTTTTTTCACTTCAGTAGTTTTATATTGCTTTGTTTTGTTGCTAGTTAATATTTTCTTCTGCAGTGTGTAACCTGCTTCTGTTCTATCCTGTGTAATGTTTATCAGGCATTATATTTTTCAACCTGGGATGTTTGATTTGGGTCTTTTTTTTTTTCAATTTATTTAATTAATTTATTTATTTTTGGCTGTTTTGGGTCTTTGTTTCTGTGCGAGGGCTTTCTCCAGTTGCGGCAAGCGGGGCCACTCTTCATCGTGGTGCGCAGGCCTCTCACTGTCGCGGCCTCTCCTGTTGCGGAGCACAGGCTCCAGACGCGCAGCCTCAGTAGTTGTGGCTTATGGGCTTAGTTGCTCCGTGGCATGTGGGAAGTTCATCCAACTTACTTCATGTATCAATAGTTTATAACTTTTATTCCCAGACCAGGGCTCGAACCCATGTCCCCTGCATTGGCAGGCAGATTCCCAACCACTGTGCCACCAGAGAAGCCCTTCGTTTGGGTCTTTTTTAAAGATAAATTTTAAATTTTAGAATAATTTTAGATTACAGAAAACTTGCCAGAATAGTGTAGAAAGTTTCCATATACACCCTCACGCGGTTTCTCTTATTTTTTTTATTGTGGTAAAAATCACATAACATAAAATTTACCATTTTAACCACTTTTTAGTGTATATAGTTCAGTAGTGTTAAGTACATTCACATTATTGTGAAACAGATCTTCAGAACTTTCGTCATCTTGAGAAATTGAAACTCTATACTCATTGAACAGTTCCCCTTTTCCCCCTCCACCCAACCCCTGGTAACCACCATTCTACTTTTTGTTTCTATGAAATTGACTATTTTAAGTGGAATCATGCAGCATATGTCTTTTTGTGACTGGCTTATTTCACTTAACATAATGTCCTCTCCTGTAGTTTTAACATCATACATTTTTTTTTTTTTTTTTGCGGTACGGGGGCCTCTCAGTGTTGTGGCCTCTCCCGTTGCGGAGCACAGGCTCTGGACGCACAGGCTCAGCGGCCATGGCTCACAGGCCCAGCCGCTCTGCGGCACGTGGGATCTTCCTGTACCGGGGCACGAACCCGTGTCGCCTGCATTGGCAGGCGGACTCTCAACCACTGCGCCACCAGGGAAGCCTGAACATCATACATTTTTATGGTACATTTGTCACTGCATCTTAAAAAAGTCTACTTGGATCCTATGTCTTCCTCTATCTCGTTCTTTTTCCATTCATAGCCAATTTTGAGAGAATAGGTTTTGCTAAATCTTTCCCTTTCTTGCTCTTCATTTCTGTTCTTTTCTACATTCTGTTTTACATCCCACTCCACCAAAATTTCCACTGAAATTTCAGATGTCAAGATAATAATTAACTCTTTCATTATCAATATCAGTATACACACTTCAGTCCTTATACTGACACAGGGATAGTGTCTTCTGTGCTCAGGACTTTTCCAGACCTCGCACTCTCTCTCTCCATCTGGCTGTTCATTGGTATCTTTTAATATCCTTTGTAATAAAGTGGTGATGTAGTCTACCTATGTGGAGCAGGCAAGATCTGAATTTTTTACATGACTGGCACTCATGGAAGTTAAAAAAAAGTGTGGACTCTGGAGATAAAGCAATAGTTCTAGCGAAAAAGAGCATCTACAGTTGCAGACTGAAGGAATGGGGAAGCAGCAGCACAATAGGGTGAGGTTAGACCCTTTTATGTTCAGTTTATAGGAGTATATAAAATAAAGGCTCCATGGACAATTAAGTGTTTTTTTTGAATGGCTTTGCAGGAGAAAACATATTATTATATTCATTTAAGAATGGTATACTGGAATCCTACAGAAATATCTAGATAACATTATAAGATCCAAATATGTTGATATCTATAAATACTTGGATTTTATAGGAAGCAACAAAATAGGAAGTTTTCTGGTATTTCAGCAATATTGCTAACTAAAAAGCAAGCCACGATATAGTCTAGGCAGTCAAAGCAAATAGAAATTTCAACAAAGTCAGCAATAAAATATAACAAATATCAACAAATTCTTATGTAGTTGTCATGACATATGTGGAGAATGCTTTGTAGAAGAAGGTACAAAGCATTCAGCAAAGTAATAAATTGGAAGTAATTCTAATACCAAGTTCATGCAAGCAGTGAAGCAAATACTGCATTTACTCTAAGTTCACAGCAAGCTGCAGAAAAAAATTCAAATGCATATCAGAGGGATATAACAATAAACAAAAATATTCATAAAGATTATAAGTGTTCTAATCTTCATCATCAAAATCTGAAACATTATCATTTTCAACGTCACCTGATCTTTCATCTCTAAAGCCTGAAAACTTTTACTGTTGAGACTTGTGACTTTTTTTTCTTTAAAAAAAAAAATAAAAAACTACCAGCATTTTGGATTAGAAACTGCATTACCACTGTCTCCAGGCAACTAATACTTCTTAGTACCATCAAAGGACATCACGGAGGAAGTTTCATGACCGTATAGCTGCAAAAGGAAATAAGACATTTTCTGCTTGGGCAAGCCTCATAAGGATCAGAGAGTTTTATAGCCGATCGGGACATTTGTTCTTTAGGGTAGAGCATGGAGTGGCCAGCGGAGCTTTTCCTGATGCAGACACAAAGTTTTGTCCTTGGTGTGCTCCTTCTCCCTCAGGATGTTTTCCTCTTGCCCAAAAGCAAACACTGCGGGCAGGTGTGGAGACTTCTCAGTCAGCAACAGGAGCAGCACCAGAGGTAGGACAGGACCAGAGTGGCCTTCGGTCCATAGTACAGGCACATTAATTGGCTGCCAGGTAATTTTCTGTAACTTTTTGGAGGAAGGGAGGTGAATACTTCATATAAACTGGCACTTAACAGTATTTTCTTTTCACTGGATTGGTGAATTCATTGAGGATTAGCACTGTATCCTTCTTCCTTCACAATATTCTGGTACTCAAGATTTTATCAGACGTTCATTGTCAACACGTTTGTAACTGGATTTAATAGAAATGTCTGAATAGATGCTTATGCCTAGGAATAGTTAGTTATGGAATTAAAGTTATTTTCTTTTTTGCCTGTTTTAAATTAAGAAAATAGTTTTCTCAGATGTGTTCAAAGAATATTAAGAACCTGTTAGTGTTCAGAATGTACTCAGAGCTTTAGTTCATTAATTATTGTATTAGCTTGTAATTTATAGATCAGGAAACTGAGACTTTGAAAAATAAACTGAATTGTTGATTTGTTTACTTAAGTAGTTAGTACCAGAATTGATTAATTTAAATACTTTTAAATCCTAAAAGTTAATTTTATTTCAGTTCATTTTAATTGGTATGCTGCATGCTTTTCTTATTTATAATATACCTATAGAGTGGTATCATAGGAATGAATGTAAACTAATCAGTGTGATTCATTTGTGTACAGTGAGAGAATCGAAGAAGCTACTGACTATAATTCTGAAAAATAAAGTAAAAATTAGTAAAAGAGAAGGGAAAGAATTGCTTTTGTATTTTGATGCATCGTTAGAAATCACTAATGTGACACAAAAAATTTTTGGTGCAGATAAGTATAGGGTAAGTTTAACTCTTTTTAATAAACATTTATTTTCATAATTCTGGAAACTTTCAGTTACTTGGGACTAAGTTTCATTGATTTTTCTTTTCGTACAATTCTTTATAAAATAACATGTAGATTTTTAGTCCTTTAAGTTTGTATTGTGGAATGGCCATCAGATTGTTAGCCATACCCTTTCAGATACCGATTAGAAAGAATCTCAGATGACAGAATTAGCAGCAGCTACTCAAAACATTTAATGAATTTCTGCGAGGTGTTTAAAAAGTGAAATGAGACAAAGACTTGTTTTCAAGATATTAAACATTGTGAGAATTATAGAATGTGCCTCAGAAGAAGTAAGTGGCATATAGAAAATGAAGTATAGATGTTGAAGAAAGAATGCCCATTAAGAGTCAGATTTGAAGGAAAGGCTATGGAGGTGGGCCTTGAAATGGCCTTTGATGTTAATGAATGAAATTTAGATAAGATGCTTTCCCGGACTGTGGAAGACGATATGAGTCGGATATTGTTTAACTGAAAATCAAAGTGGCAATTCATGTTATGTTTAGGGAGATGTTCAGTTGACAAGCTTGGATGGTCCATGTCTTAGTTTGTTCAGGCTACTGTAACAGAAATACCATAGACTGGGTGGCCTAAACAACAAACATTTTTTTCTCATAGTTCTGGAGGCTGTGAGTCAGATCAGGGCACCAGCAGACTCAGTGTCTGGTGAGGGCCTGTTTCCTGGTTCATCAATGGCCATCTTTTCACGGTGTCCTTACATGGTGGAAGGGGTGAGGGATTTCCCTGGGGTCTGTTTTATAAGAGCACTAATTCCATTCATAAGGGCTCTGCCCTCATGACCTTAGCAACCCCCAAAGGCCTCCACTCCTAATACCATCCTTGGGGACTACGTTTCAACATATGAATTGTGGGGGAAAAATTCAGTCTATAGCGTGCAAAAGATTTATGGTGAAGAATAGCAGATAATATGCTTGTGAGGAACCCTTACCAAAATAGCAGGCTAAGACCGTGGTTAGTGGGGACTCATTGAATTATTCTGAAAAGAGTATTTATATGTATAAATAATGATTTAAGATAATTTGGCAATTTTGGAAGGAAACAGGTATAGGAAATAATTGTATTAAAATGGAAAGAACTGGGAGAAAATGACATCCCTTTGAATTAATTTTACTTTAGGAATTTACCAGAAAACAAGGCATTTCCGTTCCCAAAACATCTGTGCATATTCTTTTTGATGCAAGTGGATCACAGGTATGTGTCTAACTTACTTGATTTTTACCACTGGGCTAAGTTTAACCCTAAATAACGAGAGCACAGTAATAAAGTTCATCTTGGAGGGTGAATATCTAAAAAATAAATTGTCTCAACATAGTGCCCCAATAAGATGTATATACTTTTTAAACATATTAATAATCATTTATTTCAGTACAGAAGGTAGATTGTTATTAATACCACTTTTGGTAACTTTAAATAAAAATCAGAAGTACATGTTCTTCCACTAATGCCAAAGCCTGTTTTGTGTCTATTAACATTTGAAAAGGGACTAAAAATTATAACAGTACATAGATATAAGACAAAAAGAATTGACCTTTATGAGTGTGAGATGAATGAATGCTTTACGAAGACATCCAGTGATTTTTGAGAACTTCCTATGGTTTGCAGTTTTAAACACTTTTTCTTTATTCTCCAACAGATTCTAGTCCCAGAAAGTCAAATCTCACCAGTCGAAGAAGAACTTGTTAGTTTGAAAGAAAAAGCTAACCCCCAAGAGGAATTTGCTAAACCTCCAAAATATATCAAAAACAGTAATCAAGGGGACAGAAAAAATAGTCAGCCTAAGGTATATATGGCATCAAAATAGTCATTTATAAAATAGCATAGGTCAGATCGTTGCTATATATAATTACAGAAAAAAGCATCTAGAATTCATATGTTCATCAGTAACATTTCAGAGTATTTCCCCTGCATTTTACAAATGCAAACAAAAGTTAGTGTTTAAAAAAAAAAGTTAGTGTTTTAGCAGACTGTGTTTATATGTAAGGTTTAGGGATTTAGGACAAGGTATACTATACACTTGTAAGTTTCAAATTAGAGATATATAGGTAAGTAACTACCACTTTTTGCATTTATCCTTTATGTTCTGTCTCTGCACTGGCCAATACAAATTTATAATGTTCTGTTCTGTTTACCGGCATGAGGAAAGAAAGCAAAATACTAGGTTCTTTCTCCTCCTCCTCCTGCTCCATTGAGGATCTCCTCTAGGCCGCATGTGATAGAACCATTTCTCAGCCGCCTCTCCACATCTTGCTGTGACACTTGACATTGCTAACAGCCCTCTCTTTCTTAATGTCCTCTCCTTGGTCCTCTATGTTAGCATTTTAATTCTCTTTTTACTTCTGTTACTACATCAGAGATACTTTCTCTCACTGTCTCCTAAATGTAGATTTTCTCTAAAAGCTTGATACCCAGCTTTCTGAACATCTCTATGCCTTCTCCCTTAGAGAGCTTCCTTCCTGTGCATAATTTAAGCTCTTAAAATGTACCAGGCTTCTGTTCAGAGTTCTATAGCTACGCGGGCCTCTCACTGTTGTGGCCTCTCCCGCTGCAGAGCACAGGCTCCGGACGTGCAGGCTCAGCGGCCATGGCTCACGGGCCCAGCCGCTCCGCGGCACGTGGGATCTTCTCGGACCAGGGCACGAACCCGCGTCCCATGCATCGGCAGGCGGACTCTCAACCCCTGTGCCACCAGGGAAGCCCTCCACTTACTCTTTTAATATTTCCCTTGATTGTGTCTCTTCAAGCCCTTTCCTAAAGTCTACCTCAAACTCTTTATCTTTTGCCTCAAGTTTGCATCTGCCTCCATACTTCAGTAATGTTACCATTCATTTTTCTGATGATATCCTTGATTCCAAACTCTTCTCCCCCCATACCTAGAACCAAGGTGCTAGTGATTGTTCTTTCATGGTATCTCTCACATCGTTTCCTCCTTATTATTCCCTTTACCGTTACTCATTTTAGCATACCTAGGTTATACAGTAACCTTCTAATAGTGTCTTTGACACTGTTGCTCCATTTTGTGAGCTACCCTGTGTCGTACACCACGGATTTTTCTTAATACCAGTATCCTCATAGCATTCTTCTGCTCAGAAAGCCTTGTCATCTCTGTGCTTATCCCATTAAATCTAAGTTTTGACTTAGTTTGAAGACATTCTGTAATTTAATATTACTCTATCAAAATACCCTCCACTTTAGTATGGTCAGTTGCTTTACTGTCTCTTTTTTTATGGCATGCTCATTCTTGCCTCTGTACTTTCATTCATGCTGCTTTTACCTCTAGTTATCTAAAGTGTACTTACATTTGTAAATCTTTGTTCATTTTTACTTTCTTAATGGAGCTTTTCCCGATTATTTGTTTTTACTAATCTCTCACCTTTAGGCAACTATAACTCTCACAGGCTCTTCCATACATTGTGTTACTATTTTTCCCTGTGGTCTGTGTCCTTCATTAAATTAAAAGTATCATTTTTGTCAACTGTAGTTCTCTCAGATGATTAGATTATAAAAGCTTTTTTTTGTCTTTATTGAGTACTTACTAAAAATGCAGATTCTTAGAGCCTCCCCCCACCTTAAACCTACTGAATCATAACACAAACTCTGGAAAAGATCTTAACCACACTAAAGTTTGAAAAACATTGCACTGTTGTTTAATACCCACTGTGTTTTCAATAAGGACTAACTGTTTGAAGCATTTATATGAATAAGTAACTTTTTGGATCACATTCATTATATACCACTAGAACAGTAATTTCTTTTAGAAGAATCTGCTGATTCAGTAGCTTATTTTCTGGTTAATCTTAGAATTCACTTTTCTCCCGTCCTTACCCACCTTTCCTCCATTGCCCTATATACATACCTACTCAAAACTCCATCAGTATTTTTTTCTCTGTCTTAGAGGCAGGTGCCTTTTTCAAAACAGCTGTCTTCTCCCTCTTTATGGTTTGTCATCATGTACTCCTTTGTACGGTATCCTCCGGAACTCCTGTCCCCTGTAGTCCCTCCTCTGCTTATCTACTTCTGTTGCTCTTATCAGTCATTCTAGGCTAAAGTTAGAAAATGCACATCTTTTTTGGAACACTAGCTTGTGTGCCACTGAGTCTCTGAACTCCTGTAGCTGCGTTTTACTCCAAAGGCAGTTTAGTCTTCACAGAATATTAATACAATTTTTAAATGTGTGAAAGTTTTGAACAAGGCTTAATGTTATGAAAACTTTCACAAACAAGTTTACATAAATATGTGTTCCAAACATTATCCTTATGAAATACAATAGGAAATTGTGAGCCAATGTTTAACTAGATAAACTGAGTGTCAATAAAATACTTTCAGCTAATATATAAAGGTACTATACTTCTAAGTCTGGATATTCTTTAAATATTCTTTAAAACAACATCCTTTACTTGTTTCGGCTATCTATTCAATACCAAACATTAGGATAAAATCCTTCAAGTCAGTCTAAACTACAGATATTTCTGGATATCATATTGTTTATAAAATACCGTATGTCTTGTGTGTGTAGTCAAGGTGAAATGTTGTGAATAAAATTATAGGATATTTAATTTCAAAAGAGAATGTATATTTACTGTGGGTTTTTTTTTTTCTCATGGTTTAAGATAATTACTCCTAGTAAAAGAAAAATGTCTGAAGCATCAATGATTGTTCCTGGCACAGATAGATACATTGTGAGAAGTCCAATATTTTTAGTCAATACATGTAAGTTTTATTGCCTTTGAAGATTCCTAACAAGTATTATTGTTTTAAGCTGGTATTTTTTAAATTCAGGAGTATTCTGGACCTAATTTATCTAGAGGATAATTTGGGGATATATAAAAATTAATAAAATATGAACCACAAATGTCTTCTGTCAAAAAATTACAAATGTCTGAGAAGTTTAATAGGTATCCATATAAACATTATTCAGAATATTAATATCCAGCATTAATCATTTGTTGTAATTTTAAGTGGGAGCCAGCATAACATAGTGGATAAAACATTAATTTAATCAGGCTGCTTGGGCTTGTTTCCCCACTCCTGGGTATGTACTTTGTAGCTAAGCTTAGAACCAGTTTCCTTTCTATGAAGGAAATGGGAAATGGGACTAAAGTGTCTAACCTCATCAAATTGTTTAAAGGATTAAATAAAAATTATTCATTAAACAAGAAATGTTGTGAAACATTTAGACAGTGCCTGGTACATACTAAGAGCTAAATAAAAATTTTAAAATACTCTGATACTGTGTACTAGTTGCTATAAACACAGTATTATTTAATCTTTCTGACAATTTAATAGTGACCTTCTGTTCCCAAAATCTGATTGCCTACTGGGAAATTATCTAATATTTGACAAACTTCTCAAACTTAACAGGTCCAAAATAAATTCATCTTTCCACCCTCCCTGCCAGTTTTTCTCCATTTCTTACCTTGGAATATGGCGTCCATATCCAGTTACTCATCTAAATCAGAAACCCGGGACCCATCTTAGAATCCCCTTTTTTAACCTTCCTCAGCAAAAAGTGTCTCAGTGAGAACAACATAGAAAATCCTACAAATATAGCATCGCTTTGTCCTCCTTTTTAGCAACACTACGAAGAAGAATTAAACCACCACTGCAAATGACGAGTTCTACAGAAAAACCTGGTGCTTCTAAAACATTGGAAAATGGAGTGGATAATGCTGTATCACTTAAATCTAGACCATCTGAAGAAAGAAATAGAGGAGATAATACAGACAAAGTAACTTTACTTTGAAAGCATTTTAAAATAAATTTTTATCAAGTTATTGTAGAAATACATAATTGAGCTAATTACTTTTGCAAGCAGTGAGTGTCTCACTTTTCCTACAGTGTTGCTTTTTAAATTTTTTTAGATATCATTTATTGTCCTTGAAAGTAAGGTCTTATCAATCATTTACTGTGCTAACAGTAAAATTTAGAAATATTCATTCAGTGTAACTGATTTATGCCTTCCCTAGGAGAAATGGACTTGCCATCATTCTTTAGTTTATTATACAAATTAGTGTCTGCTATGGGGAAGGTTCTGGTTTAGAAATATAAGACACAAGTGGAATCTGTCTTTTAGTATCTCAAAGTCTAGCATGGGAATTAGACAATAAGATGATTATAATATTGTATGTGTTCTCAGATGTACATAACAGGATGCAGTAGAAACCTAGTAGAGGGGCAGGTGCCTAATCCCAGAGCTGGAGGGGAAGCTGAAGATCAGGGGATGCTCTTTTAGGAGATGGAGAAGAGTTGATTTTTGAAGGGTCAATAAAGGTTATTAGTCACATGGACATCGAGGAGGGCATTCTTTCCAGGAAGTTGAAGTGGGGACAGAGCAGGGAATGGATGAGAGAAAGTTGTGTCTTGGAGAAATAGGTAATCAGAGATACAGATAAGTTTGTAGATGAGGAGGAACACCTGAAAGCTTTTGTTTTCTCTGAAGTGTGAGCATGGTGAGCTTCTCTTGGGGACAGAGGCTTGAAGTAGAGGGCTCAGAGACACACAGAGGTTTGGAGTAACTACTGAGAGAGAATGGAGAGGGGGAAGAATAAGTACAAGTGTTAGGCAGTGTTGAGGGCCCAGTTCAAACGTAAGACTGTGAAACTTATCATGGCATTAGTTTAGAAGTAAGTATAATTTCCTCAAATAAAGCTTAGCAGCCTTGGTGTTACAGTAAAGAAAAGAAAGATGGTGGATGTAAAAAAATTTTAATGGTTATGAGGCCAAAAGATAAAGGGTGCAAGAGTTGAAGATATTAGGAAAAAATAGTCAAAGTAATGGTTCAAATTGTCTAGCTAAGTGTTTCTTAATAGGGGCAGTATTGTTTAGCTGTGCAGTGTGGTTCTGAATGTTGTAGGATAACAAGTGTCCTAGGCCTGTGCCTACTTATTGTCAGGAGAGCCCTTCTGTCATTGTGACAACAAAAAACACACCTGTACATTTTCATACTGCTCCTCTCCCAGTAGGGAAGATAGCCAGGATGAGGCAAAATATCTTAGAGGGTATATTTTTCTGATAGTGATGGCAAATTTTTATTTGGTCTGGGAAGGTATGTATCTGTGGCTGTGGAAAGAGGGAAGCTTGCTACAGTCAAGAAGTTTCTTGTGCAGTGGCCAAAACTTTATAAAATAAGTTAATACTTCATAATTTCCGGTTCATATGTATGTTAGTGAAAAGACAGAATAGATGCAGGCTATGAGATCAATAGCAAGAGAAGATACGCCATGGAGGTGGCTAGAAATTCTCAGAGAGGAAAATTGAATTAGTTTTCTAGCTGTGGCTGAGATCAGAAAATTTGTAGGATCTTCTGCCTCCTTATCTGCAATGAAAGTTACTTTCTTGTGTTTTAGGATAGGCAATATTCTAGAATGGGCATAATTGTATGAAATAAATAGAAATACTATCCAACTTTTAATAGTAAGGCAAAAAAGTTTTAATACTCTGACTTTTAAAAGCTGTTTTCATATAATGCCTTAATTCAAATTTATATTAAAATTTCTCCCGTTTATAGCATATCGAAACTGATAAAATTAGAGAAAAGACAGAAAATAAGGACATTGAATTACCAAACCAGAATTTTAGTAAGTAATCTTTGGTTTAATTTTCGTCGTTCTTTACACACACACACACACACACACACCTCTCTATACTTCCCTTTCATTTATTTGAAAAAAAAAAGATTTATAATGAATACATTCAGCTTTATGTAAAGAACTTAGAGGTTACAAGGAAATATAATACAGCCTTGGTTCCCAAGAAGTTTGGGTCTGGGAGGGGGAAGATGAGATCAATCAATCTTTCCATCCCTATATGTGAACTTTGATCAAATTCTAGCTTTCTTTTTACCTTGCCAACTGCACGAAAAAATGAAAATACCATAATTTTTGTTTTATTTAGGTGAACTCCAGGAAATTGTTCCTGATTCACAGGCAGTGGGAAAAATAGATAAACCTGTGTAAGTATGAGGAAACCCATCAAATCATTTAGCCTATAATAATGTTACTTTTAGATGAGTGTAACAAATTTAAAGGACAAGGCCTTTATATTCTTAGAGTGTAGTATTGGTTATAGAATTTATCATCTTTCAAGTATTATTATGATCACACAATGGGGAATAGCCTATATGTTTCTTCAACCAACATAACTCTTTTCAAATTGACTTAAAATGAATGAGATTTTAAAACAATAAAGTATGAATTTGAAGAAAATTAACCAAGTTTAGATATATATGAAGATGTGTAAGATACGTGAGATGTATTTAGGTAGATATCAAAATAGTAGCAATAATGGAACTTTTAAAATAATATTCTTTAATCTTGATCAATTATATACTGAATTTTAACTTTCATCAGGACTTTTCACACTTGACTTAAATTTCTGTCAATAAACATTGACTAAATAAAAAGAATCAAGGCCTTATATCAGTCATAGGCTAATGTTTTGTGATAAGCAAATGAATTTATTTTGCAGGTTACCTGGTCTTTTAGACAACGTCTGTGGAAATAAAATGCACTCCAAGTGGGCATGTTGGCCACCTGTAACAAATAGTAATCTGTACAGTAACCAAAGAGCAAGTACTTCATCAGGAGACACGTTTAATCAAGGTGAAACACAGTTTTCTCCGTATATAAAATAGTTGTTCAAGGAAATACTCATTTCTTGAAACGTCTTAACAAATATTTTGGTTTTAACAAGTTTTGTATATGATCAGTTTATAAATTTAATAAGGATTAATTTCTCATTTTCCCACTAGATATTGTTATCAACAAAAAACTTACTAAACAAAAATCATCCTCTTCAATGTCAGATGATAATTCTCAGGAAATGGGAAAGGTGCAGTATGGGAAAGACATAATGCAGCATAACAAAATACATAAAGCAGAAGTAGAAGTTTGCAAAAGAAACAAACAACAACAACTAAATCATTCTAAACATTTGGAGGAGAAAAATACTGAAAATACAAAGCAGAGTGATTGGCATATTGAATCTGAAACTACTTTAAAATCAGTTCTCCTAAATAAAAAAGTTGAAGAATCCGTGATCTGTAGGAAGAAATACATACTGTCAAAAGATGTGAATACTGCTATCTGTGATAAAAGCCCTTCTCCTAGAAAAAATGCAGAAAGTCATAGAAAATCAGGGGAAAGATTGACATCTGAATTTAATTCCTGGGATTTGAAACAAAAAAAAATGGTGAGCTTTCAGTATGTTTTATTTCTGCACACCCATAATATGCCTACTTAATAACATAAAGTGAAAGAAGCTTGATTAATTGCTACAAATTTAGTGTTTGTAATACCCTGTCCTTTTTTTAATTGAAGTATCGTTGATTTACAATATTACATTAGTTTAAGGTATATAACATAGTGATTCAATATTTTTATAGATTATACTCCATTTAAAGTTATTACAAAATAATGGCTGTATTTCTCTATGCTGTGTGATTTACCATTGTTGCTTATCTATTTTATATTTAGTAGTTTGCATCTCTTAATCCCATACCCCTATCTTGCCCCTTTCCTCTTCCCTCTCCCCACTAGTAACCACTAGTAATGCCATGTTCTTTAATTCAGGCTTAGACTCTGAGAGTACATGCCTCCTGAACCCCTTTCTGACCTCTCCCCAGTCCCAGCCCTGATAGAACCTATGTGCCTGCTGGCACATAGCTGGCATGTAAATAGGTATAGCATGAATGAACCCTGCAGTTCCTTGTCTCCTCTTGTTGGGTCTCTCCCACTCTGTCCCTCAGATTCTTCTGAACATGCATATAGAACTGTCTGTGCCTCTCTTATGGTGCTTACCTTTCTTTTTTAATAAATGGTTATTTTGTGTGGTCTTTCCCCCCGTTTTAACATATTAGAGTGTAAAGACTATGTTTTATTCAGCGTTTGTTTTCATGCATGGCCTAGCACAGCTTTGCACATAGCAGCATCTGAAACATTTCTTGGATTATTGCCTTAAAGTTTGACGAGGTTTTTCAAGAAAGTATGTAAGTGGGGTGGAGGAGACTTATCTTCTATTGTAAATGTTGCTTGTCCTCATTGCAGACTCCACTTCTTCAAATTACTTATCTGTAGAACATCTCTAGGAGAGTTTTAGCTAGCTTGCACCATACTTTGAGACTGAAAGTTTACTTTTTGTAGCAGTTAAAGTTATAAACCTTTTCTTTGGTCATTGCTACCAAGATTCAGATTAAGAAAATTTTCTAATCAGAATACATTTCCACTGCCAGTAATGCAATTGCTTTTGCACTATGCCTTAAAGATCCAGGTTGTACAGGCCTTCATTTATCTTCCAGAGTATTACTAATACTGGGTGGCCAAATTTCTAGAGTCAGTGTAAAATGTTCATATATTGGAGCATCTTAGTGTGCAAGTGAAATATTTAATAGCCAATTTTGCAGTTGTTGTATATAATTAGATATTATTTCATTTGTCTTGACCAGGCTACTCTTTATTTTGTTTTTAACCTGCAATTACCTTTTTCTGCCTCATTTGGCTACTTTCCTTTTTAACCAAATCCTTTTGGGTCACTTTCTTCTTGATTCTCAGTACGCTATTCTCTCTTCTTTCTAGTCTTAGCTGCTATTTAGTTCCTTCAGACCCAGTGGAAGTAAGTTTCTTTTTGTCTGAATGCTGATCTGTCCTTCAATTTTAATTTTAAACTGTTTTCTTTGGAATTTAGAATCATTCCACAGAATTTTTCTGATCTAGTCATTTTTTTTTCCTGGGAGCACAGAAACTTGATCTTTTCTAAGCTGTTTTTTTTTTTTTTTTTTTTAAATCAACTTCCCGTTTTCAGAAGTTCTCTTTGCTCTTTCATAGCGTCACTCTCTTTATTACTGTGCGGCATTTCCTGCCACTCTCATTCATGGGTGACTCTCCTCTAAGGTAGTCATCTGTCTGATCATGTCTTTCTATTCACTGGATAAACCCAGAGAAATAGAACCTCTGTAGTTCAGTGGTACAGACTTCCCACATTGGCTCTAATTATGTCAGAGTTCTTAATAATATTATATTATTATACACTGTTTTAGGGGAGGTTTGTTTTTGCTACATTTTTATCAAGGCAGGTACACCCTGTCTTCTGGTAATCTCCAGAAGGGATAGTAAGTAATAACTTATTATCTATTATATATAAAAACATATGAACTTAAAAATGGTTAAAATAATAAATTTTATGTCATGTTATGTTTATATTATATTTTACCATAATTTAAAAAACCCATATGCATGATGCCCAGAAAAAACATAAAAGCAAGAGAACTCATATCTTTAATAAGAGTGTTGTTCAAGTTTTCTTTTAACCAGATAATCTAAAATTATGCAGATAATATTCCTACTTTGTAGTCTTTCCATTAAAAAATTAATAGAATTTTTTAGAGCAGTTTCAGGTATACAGCTATACAGAGAGTTCCCATATACCCCTTCACTCCACCCCAGTTTCCCCTATCATTAGCATCTTACGCTAGTAGATTTGTTACAAATGATGAGCCAGTAGTACTGAAACATTATTAACTCAAGTCCATAGTTTATAGTTCACTCTTTGCGTTGTGTATTCCATGTTCTTTTGACAGATGTACAACAACAGATATTGACCCTTAGAGTATCATGCATAATAGTTTCACTGCCTCCAAATTCCCCTGTGCTCCACCCCTCCCTTGTTTCCTCCCTCCCACGCCAAACTCCAGGCAATCACTGATCTTTTTACTGTCTCCATAATTTTGCCTTTTCCAGAATGCCACAGAGCTGGAATCATATAGTATGTCATCTTTTCAGATTAGTTTTTTTTCACTTAGCCATATGCATTGAATGTTCCTCCGTGTGTTTTTATGGTTTGATAGCTCTTTTTTTTTTTTTTTTTAATGCTGAATCCATTGTATGGACATACCAAGATTTGTTTATCCATTTACCTGTTGAAGGACATCTTGGTTGCTTCCGTGTTTTGACAGTTACGAATAATGCTTCTGTAAACATTCGTGTGCAGGTTTTGTGTGGACATAAACTTTCAACTCAGTTGGGAAAATACCAAGGAGCATGATTGCTGGGTCATATGGTAAGAGTATGTTTAGCTTTGTAAGAAACTGCCTTTCTTCCAAAAGTGGAAAAAATGGCTGTACCATTTTTGCATTTCAGCAGCAATGAGTAAGAGAGTTCCTGTTGATCTACATCCTTGCCAGTATTCGATATTGTCAGTGTTTTGGATTTTAGCCATTCTTACAGGTGCTTGGTGGTATCTCGTTGTTTTAATTTGCAGTTCCCTAATGACATGATGTTGAGCATCTTTTCATATTTTTATTTACCATCTGTATATCTTCTTTGGTGAGTTGTCTCTTCAGATCTTTTGCCCAATTTTAATTGGGTTGCTTCCTAATTGGTGAGTTTTAACAGTTCTTTGTGTATTTTAGATACAAGTTATTAGGTATGTATTTTACAAATATTTTCTCCCAATCTGTGGTCTGTCTTTTCATTCTCTAAACAGTGTTTTTTGCAGAGCAGAAATATTTAATTTTAATGAAGTCCTACTTATCAGTTTTTTTCTCTCATGGATTGTGCTTTTGGTGTAGTACCTAAAAAGGTATTCCAAACCCAAGGTCACCTAGATTTTCTACTATTTCTCCTATGTTGTCTTCTAGGAATTTTATAGCTTGCACTTTACATTCAGGTCTGTTATCCATTTTGAGTTAATTTTCATGAAGGGTATAAAGTCTGTGTCTAGATTCTTTTTTTTTGGCATGGTGATGTTCCAGCACCATTTGTTGAAAAGTCTAACTTTCCTCCACTGTACTGCCTTTTGTTCCTTTGTCAAAGATCAGCTAATTGTATTTATGTGGGCCTCTTTCTGGGCTCTCTGTTTTTCCCATTATTCTATTTGTCTGTTCCTTCACCAATACCACACTATATTGTATTCAATGTCTTTTTAGTAAGTCTTAAAGTAGGGTCAGTCCTCAGACTTTGTTCTTCTCTGCTGATATTGTGTTGGCTACTCAGGGTCTTTTGCTTCTCCTTGTAAATATTAGAATCATTTTGTCGATAACCACAAAATATCTTGCTGGGACTCTGAGATTACATTGAATTTATAGATCAAGTTGGAAAGTACTGACATCTTGACAATATTGAGCTTCTTAAAATACACGAACATGGAATATCTCATTTATTTAAAAAAATTTTATTTTCTATTGGAGTATAGTTGATTAACAATGTGTTAGTTTCAAGTGTACAGAAAAGTGATTCAGTTTTACATATACATATATCTGTTCTCCATTTTTTTAGATAGTCTTTGACTTTTCATCAGCCACGTTTTCCTCGTATAGATCTTGTACATGTTTTGTTAGATTTATACCTAAATATCTCATTTTGGGGGGTGCTAATATAAGTGGAATGTAATTTCACATTCCAGTTGTTCATTACTGGTTTATAAGCAAGCAACTGACTTTTGTATATAAACCTTGTATCCTTCAGTTATGCTATAATTGTTCTTTAGCTCCAAGGATATTTTTGTTGATTTTTTTGAGGTTTTCTACATAGACAGTGATGTCATCTGTAAACAAAGACAGTTTTATTTCTTCCTTCCCAATATATATGTAGTGTATTTCCTTTTCTTGTCTTACGGCATTAGTAAGACTTCTAGAATGATGTTGAGTAGGAGTGGTGAGAGCAGACATCCTTTCCTCGTTTCTGATATTAGTGGGAGTATCTAGTTTCTCTCCATTAATTTATAATGTTAGCTGTAGTTTTTTAGATGTTCTTTATCAAGGTGAGGATATTCTTCTCCATTCCTAGTTTTCTGAGAATTGTTATTGTGAATGGGTATTGGATTTCGACAAATGCTTTTGTGCATCTACTGATATGATCATATGATTTTTCTTCCTTGGCCTGGATTTTAAAAATTTATTTATTTATTTATTTATTTATTTATTTATTATTTATGGCTGTGTTTGGGTCTTCGTTTCTGTGCGAGGGCTTTCTCTAGTTGCGGCGAGCAGGGGCCACTGCTCATCGCGGTGCACACAGGCCTCTCACTGCCGTGGCCGCTCTTGTTGCGGAGCACAAGCTTCAGACGTGCAGGCTCAGTAGTTGTGGCTCACGGGCTTAGTTGCTTTGTGGCATGTGGGATCCTCCCAGACCAGGGCTCGAACCCGTGTCCCCTGCATTGGCAGGCAGACTCTCAACCACTGTGCCACCAGGGAAGCCCAACCTGGATTATATTAGTTGATTTTCAGATGTTGAATCAACATTGCATACCTGGAATTAATTCCACTTGGTTGTGGTACATAATTCTTTTTATACGTTATTGTATTCAATTTGCTAAATTTTTTGTTGAGGATTTTTGCATCTATGTTTATAAGAAATATTAGTCTACAGCTTTCCTTTCTTGTAATTCCTTTGATTTTGGTATTAGGATATATTGGTTTCATACAGTGAGTTAGGAGGTACTCCCTCTGCTTCTGTCTTCTGAAAGGTTGTGGAAATGTTGTATAATTCTTCCTTAAATGTTTGATAAAACTCAACAGTGAACCCATCTGGGCCTGTTGCTTTCTGTTTTGGCAGGTATTAATTATTGTTTCAATTTCTTTAATAGATTAGGCCCATTCAGATGATTTATTTCTCCCTGTGTGAGTTTTAGTAGAATTTATCTTTCAAGGAATTGGTCCATTTACTCTAGGTTATCAAATTCATGAGCATAGAGTTGTTCATAATATTTTTTTATTATCCTTGTGATTTATCCATGTGATCCATAGTGATAGCCTCTCATTTCTGATACTAGTAATTTCTGTATGTTTTCTTAATGAACTTGGCTAGAGGCTTATCAATTTTATTGATCTTTTCAAAGAACCAACTTTTGGTTTCCTTCAGTTTTTTTATGGTTTTTTCCCCCATGGATAGAAACTTTTTTTAATAGCTGCAAAGCACTCTGCACATTTCTATATGTTAAAAGACTTTTCCTAAGTTGTTGTAATGCCTAACAAGGCCCAAACTTATTAAATAATTTCTTTTTTAAAAAAATAATTTCTGACCCCTTTTATTTCTCTTTGTAGTTATTTACAGAACCAGATTTTTTTCTTAAATTTTCTTTTCAGCCTTTTTTTTCCTTTGAAGGTTAACTTGGTAGAGTTTTTAAGTAGCTAACAAATTGTTTCAGAGAGAAAAGTCAAAAGGGAAAGGATTTACTGATGCAGCAGAATCTTTGATAAGCCAAATTAATAAGAGATACAAACCAAAGGATGGCATAAAGTCTACAAGAAAATTAAAGGAGTCTTTGATTGACAGGTATGTTCTTAAATTTAGAAATGAATATTTTTCTGAGAGATACAACTAAATTATTTTACCTAGTTTTAAGGTTAGTTTTAAACATATGTCCAAATAATGTAACTTTCCATTAGAAAACACAGGTACTTATTTACTTTTATAAATAGAATCTGTTTAAATTATATAGAAAGGGAACTACAATTGAAATTAGTCATTCTAGTATCTGATTACATTTTATAAAGTATCAAGAGCACCATATTGATACAGCATACCATTTCAGAAATAAATCTTTAGGATATAGACATTTTAGAAATGTTATTTATTGAGCCTAGTGATGAGTAAGACTAAATATATTTACATATATTGCTTAATAAAATATGAAATTTAAATGACCTGAAATGAGTTATTTTGTACTGTATATATGTATTCCTTGTTTGCAGTCTTTCTGAAGGTTTTCTTTTATTATAAACTGTTTCTTTATAGGCTTCCAGGTAGTTAATTCATGTTTAAGTTAATTCTGACTTTATATGGCATGAAAAAAATTACTCTCATGGCAGAACCATTCATTTAAATTGTCTGGCACCTCCTGCTGCATAAGTGATTCAACTTAAGTTTTTTTGTTGCTGTTTACTGTGTGTGTGGAGTTGCAAAAGTATCAGACTAGGACTGTCACATTTCAGTTACTTGTAGCATATTGAATGTGGACTTAGTGATCCAAATACGTTTTACCTTATTTAATATGGATTTTATGAAAAACATTCTACTGACATTTAATTGCCTTTTTAATTTTGACAAAACCTTTTCTATAGTGGTTTTTCAAACAAATCTGATCTACAGCTCAGTAAGGTAAGTTTCATGTATTTAACTACACCAAATGTATAGTCAAACTCTATGATATTTGACTTTACAGTAAAATAGAATAGTAGTAGGATGGAAGTAGATTTAATGTTTTCAGCATATTGAAAAATGGATTAAACAACTGACCAGATTAGTGGCAAGTACTCAGAAAAGCCCCCTAAACTTCTGTTCTGCTTTTCAAAGAAAATGCTTCTTTTACATACATGTGTGATATTTTTACTTTTTGGTACATGATTCAGTACCATTTTTTTCCTAACTTATCCCATCTCTCTTGACAGTAAGATCATTCTGAAGTCCATATTTTTGTTAAAAACATTTATTATTCATCCAGGTTTAAAATATCAATTATCTTTGATTTATTCCTCACAATTATCTCCCGTTAATTTCAAGTTTTGAGCTTTACCTTCTGTAAGTTCCTCTTGAGTTTTTCCTCTCCTGCCTGTGCCAACTCCTATTTTTTTGAGTTCTAATTTCTAATCCCTGGGTTCTTATAATATCCTTTATGTAATTCTTTTTGTCTCTGGTATTTTCTCTGTGCCAATCCATTCATTACATTCAATACTAGCTTTATTACTTTCCAAAGCACACAGCTTCAATCATGTCATTCTCTTATTGAGAATCTTTCTTTGGTCTCTGTTGCTTTTTGTTTGTTTGTTTTTAACATCTTTATTGGAGTATAATTGCTTTACACTGGTGTGTTAGTTTCTGCTTTATAACAGAGTGAATCAGCTGTACGCTTACATATATCCCCGTATCTCCTCTCCTCCTTACTGAATTAAGTGGAGACTTAAGCTGGCTCCCTAGACCTCTTAAAAGTCTGTCTTATGTCCTAAAATTAGTTCCCTAGACATATCTTATTTAACTGAAACATAATAAATTGAGATTCCCTGAAGTGTCTTTCCTAAGTGTTTATTCTTTTTCTTCCCCCTTTGGAAAGAACTTCGAAGCGAGTCGCCAGGTTCTTTCACCCTCTTTTCTCCTTGTCAAAACTTTATTCCTCCTTGCAAGCCTTGCTTCAGAGTCTACCTTCTTTATGAAAACTTTCTAAGGTGCCCTAACTCAGAATCCAAATGGGCAAGAATTCTGAATCTGTGCAATCATGTCTTTGTACCTTTTTATTAACTTTGCAGTTCTTTTTTTCTCTCTTCTGTCTTCTACTAGAATGCACCTGTTTAGAATCATCTTTGTATCCTATATAAGTAAGACCTTTGCTCACATTTGTATGTTCTTTAATATCTGCTCATTTTTGGATCTTCGGTAATACTTAGCAAACACTGGCATGCAAAAGATGAATTGAGCAAATGTATCTAAACAGTGGTAAAAATCATTTTGGAAAGAACAAGTCAGATCAGTGATTAGAGGAGTAAAATATTGAAGGATAAACTTTTTGGAATAATGTAAACTATTATAAAACAGCCAAAAGAAATAATAAAATTGAAGATGAATCACAACTAAAATGAATATTTTAGTTTTAATATTTCCAACTTCCTGATATTAAATTAGACTTCTAATTATTTCTGATCAGTAATCAATCATTCAGTGATATTTGTGTATTAATTATAGTTAAATTACTTTAATAACATTACACACTTAAGTATGTTAAAATTTTTTTAACTTTTCTGCCTACTTTTTGATCAGACTGAATATACTTTGAGCAGTGGGCTATAGGAATAAATGTACACACATCTT